ACAGTATTGGACTCTACGCTACAGGTATCCTTTACTTTCATACATCCTGCAAGCTTTAGACCCTCTTTTGCTGTTGACATTATCATCTTTGCTCCCTGAAGTCCTTCTGTGTGCCTCCTGTGATGAGGAAATTCTCAGCTTCCTCAGGACTTGTACGTCTAACCCATCTGAAGGGTACGGCTCCATTCTATGACTCTGAGGTCGAGATGGGAGGCATTTTCTTCCACTGTTGTGTCTAGAAGTCCCCTTTGTCTTTCTGTTTCTCCTTTCATCCTGTTCTGGGTCATGACTGCAAAATCAAGGACATTGAGTGTAAATAGTATATACTATAATATTGAGGCCCCAAAATATTCCAATCATATATTACATTGTACGAAGGCCCACAACGACACTTCCACAGCGCGCTTCCAAGGTACCTTCCATAGCGCGATTCTGCGAATATTCCACAGCGCCCGATTCTGCTAATCTTCCACAGCGTGATTCTGCGAGCCTTCCACAGCGCGATTCTGCGAATCTTCCACAGCGCGATTCTGCGAACTCTTCCACAGCGCGATTCTGCGAACCTTCCACAGCGCGATTCTGCGAACCTTCCACAGCGCGATTCTGCGAGCCTTCCACAGCGCGATTCTGCGAACCTTCCACAGCGCGATTCTGCGAACCTTCCATAGCGCGATTCTGCGAACCTTCCACAGCGCGATTCTGCGAATCTTCCACAGCGCGCTGCCAAGGGACCTTCCATAGCGCGATTCTGCGAACCTTCCACAGCGCGCTGCACGAGGCCCTACAACCCCTCCCCTATTTTAGCGGACGGTCCCTTATAGCCAGCTCAGATACTGTACAAACGTAATCATGTTTCAACCCCTATTAAAAGGGAAATGATTTATTATATTAAGTACGAATTTGTTGTGTTCTATCTTCTTTTCCTAGCGCACTGGACCAAGGTTTCTTTGTAGGCTATTCTCAACTTTTTGTTTACTTTGTGTGACTCAAGAAGTATAATTACTAGTAATAAAGATCATAGGTCTAACATGACATTGTTTTTAACATCTCTACATCTATTCAGCATGAGGAGTATTCTGCCCTTATGGGTTACCTGTCAGAATGTATCCAGATGTCTGTATCATAGAAAACTTACAAAAATGAAACACTTCACTCTTTCTTTTACAAAATTTTATTGATCCTTACAAACAACATTTTGCATGATATGAAGGTGTATTTCTTTAATTAACACTACTAGTAGGTTTAATTGATTTTTTTCTTGCTTGAAGCTAGAAAGAAAGATTGTAAATGGGACCTTGTCTTGCATAAACGAGTATTGTCTTTACTAATGTCACTGTTAGGACTTCAATATCTCTTTTCGTACACTGCTTTGTTTTTTCCACTATCAAGGTCCCTTGGCAGCGTGCTGTGGAAGTCCGCAGAATCGCGCTATGGAAGGTCCCTTTGGGCAGCGCGCTGTGGAAGGCTCGCAGAATCGCGCTGTGGAAGGTTCGCAGAATCGCACTGTGGAAGGTCCCTTGGCAGCGCGCTGTGGAAGGTTCGCAGAATTGCGCTGTGGAAGGCTCGCAGAATCGCGCTGTGGAAGATTCGCAGAATCGCGCTGTGGAAGATTCGCAGAATCGCGCTGTGGAAGGCTCGCAGAATCGCGCTGTGGAAGATTCGCAGAATCGCGCTGTGGAAGGTTCGCAGAATCGCGCTATGGAAGGTACCTTGGAAGCGCGCTGTGGAAGTGTCGTTATGGGCCTTCGTAACATTGTATTTAAGTACTACCCAGTAGTATATTGTCTAACATCATGCTGCCCCAACGGCTGACTAAGCTACGGTAGAGAGTGAGAATGAGTGAAATTCTCTGATAACATGATACATCTGTGTTTACTATGGAACATTAAATAGTAGATGATACCCCTTTAGGTACGTCTGTACATGTCAAAGAACTTGTTTATGATATTTGATGAGCTCAATGTATATGCATGTTTGTTTCATCACCATTCACTGGCAATGGTTTCAAAGACAGTATTGGTGCTGTAAATTATGAAATTTTGTGGTGGTTTCATTTCTGAGAAGGAGGGAAAGGAAGGTTTAAACCGGTGTTCAAAACAATTCAGTATAACAGTACACATGTACAAGGAAGACATACTCACTGTGCCATGCATTTGCAGTGAGGTCACCAGAAATATCACAAAAATAAAAGCACAAAAGTTTCAGTCTACAGTATGCTACAACGTACAAGGCAATATAGTCATAATGCACTGAGTGCAATATGCCCTGTGGTCCTGTTGAATAAGAACTTATTGAAGCCTGACAAAAGTTACTTACTTCAATGGTGTGATCCCCACAGCTTTCCCATCCAGGTCCACTCTTAACTTCTTAAACAGCACCTGTAGCTCCTGCTCCAGGGTACTGTCATCGTCAGCAGGTGCCATTGTTTCCTGTCATTGGTGCAGGTGGAACTCACCAACACCTGTATCAACAAGGCTATATTATAAAGATTTCACACACCCCAAAAAAATTTAACATCACCATACTGATCATATGATACGATCTAATACCTGTATCTGTAGCGGTATAGCCGGTATGACGGCCCTTAGGTGTAAGACACAAAAGAAATAAACATATCATGTAACTGTGATTTTGGCCCGTGATTTTGGTGAATTGCTGATATTTGAAGTAAACAACAGGAAGTGCTGAGTGATAATGGGAAATGAACAACATGCCAACAACTTATGAACTTCAAGGCGAATTACTTTATAAATGCACACCAACCAACATTTTTTGTTTACAGAATTTTAGATATCGCCATCATTTCCTACACTGAATACATCATGAGTGATTTTAGCTCATGATTTTGCTTTCTGATGGGAATATATTTTGGAGTAAACAACAGGAAGTTGACCCTATGGAGTGATCCAAGAACAACTATTTTCCAAATAGTTATCTCAAGGTGCGAAACTCCACGGTCTGCTGCTGTTGTTGTTTTGTGTTGTTTTTAGTCACAGATTGTCCATTTTCTTACAGGCCTAGTTAATGTCACGAAAATACTGCCCCCCCCCCCCTCCCCATCTATAAAATCCACATGGTGATATTTTCTACACAGGAAAACAATGAAACTGACGCTACCCCTGCACGCAATCTGATCC